TCCCTTTTTCTTGTTTGTGTGGCTCCGTGCCATTTTGTATAGGGTAGTTTTAGATGTTGCACAGCGTCCTGACACTACTGGAAGTAGTATGAAGATTTGAGAAATGCCTTTGGCAGGCAGCGTTGCTGAAGGCAGTACCTGGGCTGGCAGCGTGTAGCACCCAAATGCAACCCCAAGAAAGAGCTGTGCCATGCAGCCGCTTTCTGTTTCTTATCTTTCTCTTTGAGAACAGGATTACGTCTTGTCTCTTGCTTTTGGCTTCAGAATAATTCAATGTCGAGCCTTTAGTTTGTCTCTGGGGATCACGGTTTTCTTGGCCAACCCAGCTGTCAAGTTTTCTAGCCTGGGCTTTGAGGGTTGTAGACCACCACGAAAAGCTTCAACTCTCTTAGGCTTCAGCTGCCTCCGGTTTGTCCCAGTGTCTTTTCTGATCAAGTCAGCTCCATGCCCGTTTTGTTGCCTCAGGAACTGGTCAGATTTTTAGGTGCAAACTCGCAAACTTTTTAGGTGCAAACTGTACGTCACCTCCTGGGTTCGTACAGAGCCTGCTGCGATTCTGGTGCAAGTGTGCAAATTGTGGTGCTTACTTTGATGTCATTCCAGGAGCGCTGGCAAAGCTCGCAGACTCTGTTTTGAATCAGTTCAGATTCACATTATGCTATTTCTGGCTTGGCTGAAAGAATTTTATCCAGATTCAGCGCTGTCGCCTCATGTCAAAGGGAACACGCTGTCTCGCGTTGGATTTAACCGGGAGCAGAGGCGCTTGCAGAGGAATTGTCATGTCCCAGTTCCCTCCACCACAAGCGTGCTGTTAAATTATAGCCATCCTTTCCCTATGCTTGATGGGAGGGCTGCAAAAACATGCTGTAAAATAATCTTTGCTTTGAAGAGTTTGAGATCGTGGTATTACCAGGGAAATGAAAAAGAAGTGTTTTTAGCGTTTACAGAGGTCGAGCTGAGGTAGATGGAGAGAAAGTGACTTTCGGCCCTTGCCAAGAGGAGCCTGCGGCGGGGCTGGGAACTGCTTCCCGGTCCAGTTCTTTCATCCCAGCATCGCCTTCCCCGCGTTGCCGTTTCAGCGAGACAGCACGCGTTTCCCAAGGACACCGGCGTTGCGTTTTCACGCCCCCACTCCCCCCGTTGCATTTTTATCCTGGACGTGCTGTTCTCTTGCAGTGGAGATGAGGATGTGAACAAGCGCGCACAGTCGGTTTCCGCTTGGTTTTGGAGGCGCGATGGAGGTGGAACCGGCGAGCGTCAGGGGCGCGCGCGAGGAGGTTCCCCGTGCAGCTGCGCTGCTTGCGGTTCTCGGTATATGTGCACGTGAAAACACAATCTCTTTCAGGACCTTTCTTTTGAAGGCACACTCAAACCTTTCTCTGTTTCTTCATTTTTATAAATATACACATGAACATGCGTACCTGCCCCATCCCTGCTTTTTGCAGCAAGTATGCTTTTCTTGCCCCCAGGAAATGGTTTCTTGCAGGCTGCAAGTTTGCGGTCCCGCTCTTTGCACGCAGCACGTCTGCAGCTTTCTGAGCCTATAGCACTTTAATATCATCACAGTAAAAGCTCTTTTTTTTTTTTTTTCCTTCCTCTTCTTTCCCTTTCCCCCCAGTGTGCGCGCTGTCGAGTTTGATTTATAGCCTTGAAAAGGAGACTCTTTAGTTTGAGGAATTAATGGTATTTGCATATTTTATTTTGGAATCTCCCCCGGAAGGCCCGCCTGAGCCCGTGGAGGAGCTGGGCTGCCGAGGGCCTGCGCGCAGAACTACTTTTTTCTTTTTTCTTTTCAGATTTAGCTGCAGAGGTGAAAAGTTTAAACAGTAAAACCAATAAAACCACATTTATGTGACAGATAAATTGTTTCGAGACAGCTTGCCCTGAGCTGTCAGGCTCCCTACTGCAGGACCTCTCTCCCTTGTCTCCAAAGGAATACGCAACGCTCCTGCGTCCACCTCCCGGCGAAGCCGTGCCGCTGGGCAAACGCCGGCAATGCCTCCAAACGGCACTGACCGAGGAAGCTGAAGCCCAAATGTGCCGGCCTGGGTATCCTCAGGCCTGCCTAGCTGGCCAGATGGATGTGGGTAAACAGTTGTAAAATACACAGACTATCCATCACTGTCACGAGCTGGCTCCCAGGAGAAGGTCCAAGCCTAGCACAGGGTGGGAATGCTTTTAGGACAGGTTGTCTTCATCGGATTTCTTTTGAATGTGATGCGAACAGCTGGAGATATCGTACTGCATGACGGAAGGGACTAAAATAACACAGATGATTGCCTCCCCGCTGCTCCGTCAGCCCTTCGGGCCGATGCCGGTGCAGGTGAGCTGGCCCAGGGAATGCCGGGAGCCAGCAAATCCCAGGGCTGTCCCAGCGCGGTGGGGCGAAACGGCCTGGTTTCAACCTGCCGGTGCCACGGTCGGTCGCAGAGCGGGGAGCAAGGTGCCCCGCTGGAGGCTGCACGCACTGATGAGGGAGAGTTGCAGTGCTTAAGCTCAGGGTACAGAGCAAACCCTTGTGTATGGTTTAGAAGAGCTCTTGATGCCTCTTTCGTCTCCTCGATCCATTTCTCATCCTCACTTTGTTTTCCTTTGGGGCTTTATTTCAGCTTGCTGTGAACTGCTACCCGGTCCGTCCGGTGTCTGGACGTGCCCGTTATATGGGATTGCATTGTGCTCTGCAGTTCACAGCTTGCCAAAGGCACCTTTGGCCCCGCCGCGCCCCGGGGTGGCGGACACCAGGACTTTGGGGCGAGTTGCGCTCCGATTTAGCCCGTAAAACCCTACGATATCCTGGAGCCGTTGACAAACCTACTGCGAGAGTTTTGAGCCTGCCATGCCAGGTGAAAAGAGCACGGGAAACCACCTTTCCGGTTGTCTCTTTAAGGGCCCTTGAGCGCTTCCCTTTGGAAAAGCTCCCGCAGATGATGTGCAGCTCCAGCATGTAGTTAACACAAGGGGCCCCAGCGCGGACCTCCTGTGCAAAGCCTTGGAGGAGCGCGAGACAGAAAAGCCCTCCGAGGTCCCTCTAATCCGTCCCCCCTGCCAGGGTGGGTGATTGTTCCTTGCCGCTTGCTTTCTTCACTGTGACCTACATAATCAAAAAGAATCGTGTTGCACATTTTTGTTTGGGACCTCGAGGTCTTCGAGGAGCCAAATCCCCGGCTTTGTGGGGCGGGCCGTGTTGTTAAACAGGGCTCGCGCCTCCAGGAACACCATGGAGACGCTGCCACAATGAGCTCTCTGTGGGCCGCGCTTCGCTCCGGGACATGTGCTGCTAGAAGAAATAGCCGAGCCGCTCTTCGCGGGGGCTCGGCAGCGGGCGCCTGGCCCTTCGGACAGGGGGAATGAAGATGTACAGGCGCTTGGCAATCGGGCCTGCCATAGAGCGGTCACAGGAGCTCCCAGTCACAGGAGGCTAAAGGATGGGAGGGAAACACAGCCGCTCTTAATTAACTTGTTTTATATGGCTTAGATTAGTGCTGTGCCTTTCTTAACCGCTCCTAATTCCTCTGCTCCATCATTACCATTGAAAGAACCTGGCTAGGTGAAGAAAGAAGTCCTCTAAGGGAGAAGAAAGTTTAGTGGGGGAAAGGTGTGGGAGCTATTAATTTATTATTACTGCCTTGGAAAATAGTAATGAGAGCAAGATGGCGAAACCTCGCATGTAGGGCAGTGCGTGGCTTCAAAGCTCTTGGTCTGAGGACCCAGTAATGTTCTTCTGCAGCGGTGTGACGCTCCGGCTTGGGTTTGGGTGTTTAAGCCTAGCAACAGCAATCTGTTTGTTTTTAACTTGTTAACTTTCTCAGACACCTTACAAGGAGTCTGAGGATGCCAGGGGTTGGTGGACCACCAAAACTTTGTCCATCCAGTTCACTGTACTGAAAAAATTAGAAGCCACAGGGGAAGCGAAGGGAATCAGACTGAGAAAACTCAGGCTTCGTCAGAGTGAACAATATTGCTAGTGAGCCAGATGGCACAAGCTCACCAAGTTATGCTTACGAAAGATAGCAGCATGAATGTCAAGTAGGCGAGATCAGAGGTCAAATATTTGATGAGCGTGGTCTGTGTGGCTGAGAGGGGAGAAAGTGGAGAGAGTGCAGGTGTCCAGGTCAGGGAGGGGGAGCTTGAAGGAGCTTCTGGGATTCTACATTGGAGGGAGGCATTAGGGGAAACTGGGATTAATTTGCTTATTCCTTACCCAAGGTCAAGGCCAGCCGAGGCTCTGATGCTGGGAAGGCCACAGGGTGTGCGGGAGCCTTGGGTGCGGTGAGAGCACACGTATGGTGCACGCGGGAGCTTGCTTTGTAGACCTGAAGGGCTTCAAATGAGAAGTTGTCACCTGCGCTGTTGGGGCTCTGCAGCAGAGGTTGTCACGGATGTCTGGATGAACTTGCCTGTGCCTTCTGCCTCCACCTGGAGCTGCCAGGGGACTTCAGTGGTTTCTCTAACGAATGACTGGAAACCACCTGAGACTCCTAGGCTCCTTCTGTAGCTGCATTAACCTAAGATAAACCGCTGAACTCCTGGATGTCTCTCATACCTCTCCCGGGGAGCTTTATTCATTAGAGACGCTTACAAAGCACTTTGAAGATGTTAAGAGATCTCAACGAGCACGATGCGAAATCCTTGTGGCCCAGTTAAAGTGAAGCAGATGGTAACTCGGGGACAGAAGAGGTTCTCTGTGACTTTAACCACAAAAGCACCCTCCTCCAGTAGTTCGAAGCGTCAGGACGCTGCGGTTCTTCTCTGGCTCTGCCGCCGACCTCCAGGTGTTTGATTTCTCACTTACACACGTAGCACCTCCATTTCTCCCCTAAAATAGAGATGACATGCAGGAGGAGCGCATTATAGCTGAATTAGCTAAAATTGTGAAACGTTTGGAATGCTTTTTCTGCTTAATCCCGCCTGTCCGGGTTTTTTGCCAAGTTATAGGTAAACCTGCTCTCTAGCCAACTTTTAAAAATCTCCTTTTGTTTGTTTTTCTGTTTGTGCTGCAGCTCTTAGATCTGTTTATCCAGTGGGACTGGTCGACGTATTTGGCCGACTACGGGCAACCCACATGCAAGTACCTTCGCGTGAACCCCACGACAGCCCTCGTCCTACTGGAAAAGTGAGTGCATGTCCAGACACTCTCTGGACAGTTTTAAGCCCTGTCTCACTTTAAGCAAGCGCGTTTCAGCCATGCTTTCCATCACGCGCGTTGCCTAGACGGAGCAGCCTCAGGGAGCAGGGCTGCTTGGGAGCCTGCCTTCAAAGGTTTCACTCCTGCATGTACAGTGGAAGCTCTAATAGGAAATCCCTTTTTATCACGCTAACCTGAATTCTGCTTTTTATATCAAAACTCATTGATTTGGCTGAGGCTCACTCTTTCTGTTTCACTTCTAAGCAGAAGTTCCCTGGTTTCACAACAGACTTCCACTGTACAGAGGTGTATCTGAAGCAAGCCCCCCCAAAATCACTTAAAATTGCTAGCCCGCAGCTCGCTCTGTGGTTCCATGTAGAAGACTGCAGGCTAAAAGCCCAGCTGTGGGACAGTTTGCTCTTAGAAAGGACAGGATCTATGTTGTCAGGTAAGCGTGAGTCTGAGCCTCTTTGAAGTCTGGATTCGCCCAGGTAGTTTATATGCAAGCAAATGCTTTGCACAGCTTCAGCCTGAGGAGCAGAGCCTGAGCGCTGGCCCGTGGCGTCAGGACGCTTCAGGTGAGCGCTGCTTGTGTCCTCTGCGGGGATTTCGAGACCAGCACAGCAAGGAGGCTTTAAGCCACAGTTGCAGCCAGTCTTGCAAGCCAATAGCATGGATGGGAAGTTTATGAGTTATGGAAGGGCATGCGCTGGCACATACTCTAGCACATCTCACAGTAAAATATAGCTATAGGCAGGTGCTGCCCAGAAAGAATAGAAAACACTGAGGGAGTGCATCAAAGGTGCTTTGCCTGTGTTTGTTCCTCTACAGGGCAGCAGCGCCAGCTCTGCCCTATGCTCCTTGTCCCCGGTGAAAATCCCAGCCCAAATGGTGGATTCATATATGGGGGCAGTGCATTTTCTTCAGTCCCTAAGAGCAGGATTCACTTCGCTCGTTCCTTCTCTGGCACGTAGTTGCAATCAGAGGGAAGAAGTGCCACCGAGACACTCATCGTGCCCATGGTAGGACGTGGCTCAGATGACACCTTCTGTGGTAGACCGCCACACTCTCACCAGGAGGAACAGCCCTAACTCCTGTCCCTTGGCTTGCAACAGACCTCGCAGCCGTGCAGCTGTGAGCGAGTCACCAGCTGATCTGACAGCAAAGTGACCTGCCAAAAATAATAATTAATAATTTTCCAAGCAGCTCCGTTACTAAGTCTTGCATGGAACAAGGTAGGATAAGCATGGCCTCCTTCTTCAGCAGTAATTTCCAGTTAAATTTGTTTAGGTTTAACGTGAAAACAAATCCCTAGGATAAATTTGAGTTGCTTTTTTGGGGGTATCTCTTTTTTGGAGCGGGTATCTCTTTTTGGAGGGTATGAGAATGCCTAATTTCACATCAGTTCATGGCATATGAATGTTGTCAGTATGGTACACAAGGACTAGACTGATCTAGCTGATGCTCAGAAAGCACTTTTGTGTATTCTAGCATTATTTTTATGTGTGCGTTGTATAATATTATATGTGTACGTGCTGAGTATCATTTGTAACCTGACATCCATGATCGAAAAGCCTGCAGCGTATTCAGGCTTTCCGTAAAATGATAAACAACCGTGAGCTTGGACACTCAGCAGTCAGAAGAGCTGAGGACGTGGAAGCAGGCAGGCAGCTGGGGTTGGTAACAGCTAGTTGGAAAGACTCGGGGGAGCGAGAAGGCAGCTCCATCTTCCTGGCGCTTAGCTCCGATTCCCCGTTTTTTGCCGTTTCCCCCAGGTGATACTTGAACGTGACCCATCCGCGCTCTGTGGTGTTATTAAAAAAAGAAAAAAAGCCACAAACCCCAACTCCGCTTGCCAGCGTTCTCGCTCTAAGGGAATCGTTTTAAGGGAAATCTCGCGTATCCGGTTTGCTTTCCAGAGACAGCCCCGGTGTAGTCACTCGTTTGGCACCCGCGCCTCCCTTGCGCTCGCAGCGTGGCGCTGATTGGCTTTAGGGGCATGCTCGTACAGGCTCGTTTCTGTCCCCGGTCAGGCTTCAGGCACCTTGGGGATTCTCTGTCTAGCCCAAGGCCGGCTCCATCTCGCCCTTTTTGGTTTCCAAAGGGCCTGGTCTCCCGAGGACACCTGAGACCCTGCACCGGGCATTAACACTAGGCATGTGAGCTCCTCTCCAAACTTGGAGACCAGCTCCCCAACCGTGTCTGTACGTAACTAGCTTTGCCAACAGGCCGACATGAAATTCTGATCCACTGGTTCGTTTTTTAACTTGTTTTCATGATTATCTCTTTTCCTAATCACACATCTCTCATAGGATATCACGAGTGTAAGTATGCTGCTTGCTTGGGCTTTTACCTTCACCTTGCAATGACTTTATTGTTTGACTTAAATGGAGCACTAAATGATCTAAATGCAAGCTCTCTTTGAAACGGTTCCCGCCGGTAACTTTATCATCTCAAATGCACTACTTACAACTAAAAGAGGAGCTTTTACTGTGTTGCTTTTTCTCTTATAGATTAATTTAAACAAAGCTTGACTCCCTTTAGGGTGGTGTTTGTTGACAGGGGTGGGGACGGCATTGAGCTTTCTCTCTCCCTTCCACTTTTAATTCTCCTGCTAGTACACAGGGACGACAGTACAAAGCTGGACCCGGTTGTCCTAGGGCTCTGCAGGCATATGCTTTAAGAAGTAAAAGTGTCGATCCTCCAAAGAACTTCTTAGCTGCCCGAAGACACTGCCTCTCTGTTTTAAATCTGATATTCTTGGTGTCCTGAATCAAAGCCCTATCTGTGACAGTGTGTTCCAGCTACTGAAAGATCAGGCGTGTCCTATAGCCAAATATCGGAAAAGAAGCAGGCTCGAGTTCAGGGATCGGGGCTAAAACACGCCTTCTGGCTGTGACGGCAGCTCTACAGATGGAGGCTGTGGTCCCACGCTGAGGCTGCTTACGCTGTTCCCACCCCAGGCTAGTCCTCAGTTGTGCTGGGATTTTGGAAGAGTATTTTTCCATCCGGGTTGGTTCTATGACTCTGGTCCCCAGGTGACCCTCCCAAACATCCGTAGTAGCACAACTGAGGAGGCTGGAAGCAGCTTGTGCCAACACTGTCACCAAGAGAAACGCCTTTTGAACCACCAACTTGAGGGTATGTCTACCCGCTGGCTTGCAGGCACGCACAGGCTTGCTCTGCTTGCACTCCTACCAGGAGATACCTAACAACGTGAGCCCTGAACAAATATGCCTTATTTTAGTCTGGCTTCCTGCCTGCAGAGTTAATGCAGACATTGCTTGACGACGTGAAGGCCAGAACTCCTATTTTGAAGGGTTAGTTAACTCTTCAGTTTTGTAAATCTTTTCTTAATAGCTGGTACAGTCCTTATAAACCTGTACCTGTGTGTCTAATGTTTGCCTGTAGATGTGAAATCCCTTTTGTACACAGTGGGGTTAATAGGATCGAATGGTTCAGAAGGCCTGAAGATTAGCGATTTGACACCCCAGGAAAGATGCCTGGCCACAGGCGGCTGGTAACGCAGCCCCCAGCAACGATTAAACTCTATAGGCAAACCTATCCAAAGGAATGCACAGATTTTAAAAGCATCATTGTGACCCTGAATGTCCCGTAACCAGCATTTGTTTACCATGGCAAAATCAAGTCACAAAATATGATCTTACTGCATCATCCGCTGCGCATGTCAGCCAGCAATGCTGGTATGCTTTTCCACGGCTCCTGGAAGCAGAGGTTAATTGCGTATACGCATATACGCTAGGCACCTAAGATAGCAGTCCTGCCTTTGACAGCGACTGCATTGCGTCGGCCCGGTGTCTGCCGGCAGAGCTTTGATGGCCACAGAACTGGAGCCCGCAGTGTCTCCTCGAGTGGTAATCAGATCTGAAAACTCAGCCTCTTCCCAGGGCTGCATCTGTTTGCTGCCTGCCGTACGCCTGCATGTCCTTGCGCTCCCGGGACGCTCCTGCGATGGCCTGGGCTCTGCTGCGGCGTGGTGCCCGGCACAGGCCGTGCGCTCGGGCTCTTTGCAGCCTTGGGAGTTCTGCAGGTGGCTTAACTAATGGAGGAAATCCAACCATTAGTACCTGCAAATTCCCAGGTGAATACTTGCTCCTGCTAGGCAGGTATCTCCTGCTGAGATACCAGGAACTTCAGTCCCTCCTGGATACATGGGAAGTTTGGAGCTAACTCCGACTTCAGCAGGTCCACCTGCCTGTGTTAGCTATCACGATCAGGTTATTGACAACACGAATGGGTGCTCTGGCTTTAATGTTTTGTCATCCTGATCCATAGCTTTATCGGTGCGACTCATTTATATTTCAGCCGAAAGCACAAAGATGATCTTTTCTTGCACACGCCCCTCAATTCTTAAAAAACAATGTTTCATGGAAATAAATCTTCCCCTAACCTGCAGCCTTGAACAGTGCCCGCGAGATCCGACGCTAAGGGCTGTAAGGAAAAAAGCTACCGAGGCAGAGAGGGAGAAGACGTTTTAGGGCAGAGAGGTTTTGCTGTAAAAATGCCCACGTATTACCTCTGGGTATTAAATATGCAAAAAAATCAGTACTTTTTACCACTCAGTATTGCTACAGCTGGCAGCAATGCAAGGGATGTGGCACCAGGCTGAGGATCTGAAGATAAGGGTTTGCTTTCAGCAGGTCCGATGTCCCGGCCTGGCCTGGGAAGCAGCAACGGTGCTCCCGACCTTCCTTGCAAAGTTTTTTGAGTCCCACCGGAGCTATATAACACTGCGTGCGAAATAGGTGTTACGCTAACGTGATGATGATCAGTTCTAAAGCTCGTGGAACGGCACCACCTCTAATCTGTGTGACCTGGAAAACCTCGCTTCCCGGCGGTGTATGTCCTGCCTAGTTCTCGCAGTGGAGCCACTGGCAACCTGCTTGGGTTTAAAAACAAAAAACAAAACAAAACTTATTTTGCTGAATAAAATTGCTCCAAGCTATCTTGTTAGTGTTGGGAAAGCAGCTCTGTTGTAATCCTGTGTGTGTCTTTGGGCACTTACAACTTTAGCAAATTATCCTGTGGGATAAAGTTGTTATCCTTGTTTTCAGTTCCAAGCTAGATGTTTTTTGGAACATTTCAGATTCCCTTTGGCTCTTTTTAGGAAGATTGAAGCATGAAAAACTTGGGGTTTTTTAGTCTGCTAAGTAAGTTTCAAGAGGTTTGTTTTGTGCTTGGATAACTCAAACCCCCCTAATTTGATAAACTGCCAACTTTCCAAGGACCATCATTGCTATTTCCCAATCACTGCAAGGCTTCGTTTAGGTACCCGCAGCTGAAAACGCAGACTTATGCGACTCATCCAAAGACATCTGCCTCTGCCAGATCTGATTTAACGAGAAAATCATTTACAAATTACGGTATTATAAAAAAGTGGTGCCTTCTCAGAACTAGCGGGTTGGATGTTACAAGCCTGATGCCTTTGGGATCTGCCGTTGCTCCGTTAAAGGGTTGACCCTTCTCGGGGCAATTTCCCTTCCCAGCTTTCCCGGTGGCCACCCGCTGGCTGCAGCACGTGGCCTGCCTGTGACAGCCGCCTCGCGTGCCGCTAACGCTTTAACCATGCCACGGGACGTGGAGCCCCTGCAGACGCAGCTGCAAGCGCGAGCGTGCATGAGGCTGGAGCTTTGCATGCTGGAAAGAAACGGAGCCGCCCCGGTTTCACATCCTGATCCCGTGCCACCACCAGCTTGTCTTTTCTTTGGCTTTCCAGAGCCCTCGGGGGACTTGTTGAGACCAGTGGGCTACTTGGTGTGTCAAAAGTACAATTTAAAAAAAAAGCAAATCTCGAGAAGATTTGTAATGTGGGGAAACCAGTGCTGGATTCCTGCGATTTAATGCTGTGCAATATTTTAAGTTAACAACGCGGAAACTTTATGGCTGCAACAAAAGCTGCATCTCTTGGCCGCATGCAATGCACCATTGTAAATGATAAACATTAATGCTGTGGATTTGACGCTACATTGTTAATTTCCTGCCACTTTCACCATTGATCTCTTAACGTTACAGTATCTTCATTTAGCATTTAATAAGGTGACACGGGAACGTAGCCAAAACTGCTCTGAAGGAAGAGGGGTGAACTGGGGGTTTAGAAACTCATGAGCTGAGGCTGTGCTTGGAGGCAAACTCCCTGCAATGACGTAGGCTGTGAATTGCAGGGTCTAAAGCAAAACTGCAGAGATATGCTGTGCAAGGAGAGGCGTATCCATGGCTCGATGTGCCCCTCTTTGCACACATCTGTCCTAAAAATTGGGGATAAACCCTTCAGATGCTGTCACCTCCTCTCTCCCTACCAGGGCCTGAATATAGTCACTTTGGCAAGGACCCAGCGGGTACGTCGGTACCCCCCTGAGCAGAGCTTTCCATCGAAGCACGGGGAAAGTCTCGCACGGGGCTCATTTGTGGGTTCGGGGTGCCGTGTTTAGGAGCAATGCATGTGCCATAACCTGACCGGCTCTTTCTGCTCTGCGCAGGATGCGAGACACGAGCAGGAAGAACAACGTGTTTGCGCAGTTTCGGAAGAACGAACGGGACAAGCAGAAGCTCATAGACACGGTGGCCAAACAGCTCCGCAGCCTGATCAACAGCCATCACTCGTGAGGGCACCGGGCGCTCGAGACGAGACTCTGGGACCTCCAGGCAGTGCTGGGCTCTGCACCACAGCCTGCTGCATGCCTGGACTTGGGATTCTTGTTCAAAGAGAATATATGTATTTTTTTATTCACATGTATAGTATTCGTGAAACCTACCCTTCTGACAAAATGTTTCTTGTTAAACAATCCCGGGGAAGAAGGGTGGCACTATTTGTGCTGGCTCAGTGAAGTCAGGAGTCAGGAGTCTCCCTTATAAGCTCCTATTTTCAGGGGGTTGTAAAATGAGGGTAAAAGCTGAAGGCTCAGAGAGAAGTTCACACCTAGACTTTTTTTGTGTGTGTAAGCCAAATTCGAAGAATCCGTTTGACTTTCTTTTGTTAAGTTATTCAACTGCAGAACAAATGAAAAAAAAATATTGGGAGCAGCCACGATTTCAGATTCTTTTCACGGACTCTGGTAAACCGAGCACATGTTTAGAAGAGGGTCACTTGTTAGCCTGTCTTGCAAATTTGCTTACTGGATTTGTGTAGGAAGAGGGGCAAACTGATTTCCCAGTGTTTCTCTTTCATCTTTTTTCCTGTAAGGGCTGATTTCCACCTTAGCTTGCAGATGCCTTGCAGGGAGGCAGCAGCTGGAGCTGCACTCCTAGCCCATTCCTGCACATCTGCAACCACAGCACTCAGAACGGATGCGCGCTGAGCTACACCTCTAGGACCTGCTGTTGTCTTTCGTACCTGCACCGAATGCAAAAGGGCTCAAGAGCTGCCTCATTAAATAGATATGGAGAGAGCGAGACAGCAAATAACCTTGCACGGTGCCCTGAGGTGCTGTTCTGGTGCTGGGTTGCTGCGACCCTTACTCAGCAGGGTCGGATGATGTTAATGTCGTGCCTGGCAGTGGTGAAGGAGGAGAGAAACAGGATGCTGCAAAGACAGACTAGGATTTCCCATTGCACAGGGCATTCTTTTTAGTTTTTCTCTCCTTGCAGCTCTTTTCCATGCTGCTGTCCTTGTCTTCACTCTGCTGAAGACATGGCGAGATGGAGTCAAGTCCCTCTGCTTCCCCCAGTCTGGCTTGTGCTGTGCAAGGAGCAGCCCAGCAAACTCGACTCTCCCCGAGATAATCGGCATGAAGCCCCTGGCTGGCCTCGAAGTGGAGAGAGCAGCATCTTCGCCTTTGGAGCAGCAGCATCCAACTCCCCCTGGCTCGGAAGTGCCTAAGGACAAAATTCACCTCTTTGCACTGGAGGTGCCCATACATCATCCCCTCAAATCAAGACGTCTTTGAGGGCAACCCTAATGCTATCAACAGGGCGTTAATCATGGAGTTCGTGTTACAGAGAGAGGGGACTTTTGCCCTTATCTTTTCTTTACCCTTTTGACTCTTAATTACTGCAGGTGGAAGCTTATCCAGCCGGTTCCCCCACCTACCAAGCCCTGATGCTGTGTTGAAGGGAATTAAAGTCTCTGGTGTGTACATAACCACCCTGGCGGTGCTGCTTCTGCACGGACGTAAGCGTTGCGCATTTTTTTAATGCCGTTTGAATGTCTTGGGTTGTCAGCTTTCTCCTGAAATCACTTCTGGAAGTTGATGCACTCGCCTCAGAGCGAGGTTTGTTCTTCTTAACCTCCTTTCACGCTATGGAAGGGCAGGGCTGGTTTGAATGCTGTTATGTCGTGACGCATACGTTTGCAGAACGGTAGCTACAGTTTCTTCCTGCATTTAGTCCCTTTTCTTTCTCACCGTGTGCACTTTCTGCTTCGTGACTCTTGCCTGGGAAGCTCTTCTGACACTCAAGCTCTGGATACACGAAGGGGACGGTGCTTTATCTTCCGTCCTTGTTCCTCAGCAATACATCTTTTTTTTTTTTTGATAAGGGTACATGGTACTTAACCCTGAAAGTAAACAGGCACATTGGAGGCAATGAACTGTTGTCCCGTCATGGCGATCTCCAAACGTGAGGGCCAGTGCATGGCCCTCATTTTCATTAATATGAGGGAAGACCAAATGTTGGAAGTTGGCTTTATGGTTCTTTTCTTTGGGGGTGGATCAGAGGGTACTTTCAGCTTAATGTCTCTTTGAAGAACATGTAAGAAGGGTAGAGGAAAAAGAAGCAGCTGAAGGAAAGTTGTCATTATTGCGTCCAGAAAAAGATCAGCGACGGCAGAGACATGCACGCACGAGCCAGCAAGCGCTTGCTCTTAAGACAGAGACAAGTGAAAAAAGAAACTTGGTTGATCCCCGCCGTGGTGAATTCTTTTCTGTTCTCCAAAACGCTGTGACGGTGAAAGCGGGGCTGCCTCCATCAGCCTCCAGCACGCCAGCAAGAAGGGCCCTGTGGCTCCTCGGTGGTGGGGGTGGCCCTGAGCTCATCGGGGCACCAAGAGCTGAACCTGAGTGCTGGACCCAGCCTGCTCAACGAGGCCTGGGAGCTTCGTTGCCTGCTGAGTCCGTGCGATCTGGAGCTGTCTTAGCGTCCCGAAGGCTGCACAATTGAGAATGAAAAGTCATCCAGCTTGTCGGACTCTGGCAGGAAGCTCTCCTTAGCTCAACTGCAGAGAAAAGGAAGGAGACCTGTCCTCGCCGCCTGGCCAAGGCGTCTTGCTAGCTATGGGGAAGCTCTCGGTGCCCCTGCCGAGATGCGTCCCGTGGAGCAGCATGGACCGCAGGGCGCTTTATTCCTCCTTCTCATCACCTGGTGGTGTCTCGATGGGAGAGAGGGGCATTAGCATGAGTCGGAGTGAAAAGCAGGGGCAAAACCAAGCGGGATCGGCTGCTCAAAGAGCCACATCTGTCTCCCCTGAGCGATGGAGGTCCTACACAGAGTATAGAGATTGAAACAAAACCCGAGATACTCGGTGGCGACAGTAATACGGGAAGCTTCAATCCACAGGGCACTTATGTTAAGGGCCATTTAATAGTAACAAGCACTTTAAAATACTTCAGAATCAAGCTGCTACAGATGCTGGCGACGGTGTAATCGAGCATCAGCAAGCATGACAAATAAGGCACTCTGGCATTTCCAGTTTTTATTAGTGGGAGGATAGACTGTCAAACACAATTTTTAATCGCGTTTGTCAGCCGCCGACTTTGCTGCTGGGCAAGGCGGTGGCTTTGCAGCCTTGATTATTTTCCGCTCCTCCGCGCTAGCTGCTGGGACGTGGCCGGGGAAGGGAGGGGAAGAGGGGACGTGCCGTGGGAGCGCGACCTTCCTTTGAGCGCTCCAGCCAGCTCTGACCTTCCCGACCTGCAGCCGGGCCCTCCCGCCCCCCTCCGCCCACCCCGCGGAGCGAAATGGGATTGCCGTGCCAGCGCGGGATTGGTTTCCGAGCTCTTTCAAGCGCTGCTCGGAGAGGCCGTGCAAAGCGCCTGGGCTGGGATCGGCTGAGCTGACTCCTGGCTCGTAGCGCTCAGGACTTTCTGCTGGGAAAGTGAGTCCCGGCCAAGTAAGATTCAGAGAGTTTCTGATTTTGGGAGGTCAAATGCCTAACCACAAGTCACATAACGGGGATGAAAAATGGAATTTTGGTGCTCTGTTCCTAATTAACTTTTTGTTCCGAGAGATGCAGTTCCATCCCTTCAAAATAAAATTAATCTTTAAAACGGATTGCTTAAAAAGCCCTGGAAGACATTTAAAATCCCCTCTAAGTCTCTTACTAATGATCAGTATCCTCTGATACGGATGGTATTGCTTAGGAGGGAAAAGTTGTTGCTATAAATTTGTAACGTGGGTGGGGGGAGGCAGGGGCAGAACCCCCTGCTGTAAGCATAGGTTTCCGACCCCCGAAACAAATGATGCTGCTATTAACCCATCCGTATACAGGCATGAACGGTCCTTAGTTTTTTTAACCAGTCGCCATAGAAAAGACTGGGTTATTTCCCCCTCTCCCCCCCTCCACCTGGAAAACATATTTCAGCACCAGTAGGGGGAAAGAAAAAAAGTTTGGCTTCCTGGGAAGCGTCCGTGCATCGTGCCGTCTTTGTAACCTTACGGGGCTATGCAAGGCGTCCCTCTGCCAGCCTCCGTGTTGGGAATAATTTTTATAACGTCTCTAATGCACTAACTTACGGACAAAACTGTACCTATGCATTCGAGGGATGTCCTTCATTAGGCTTTAGAGTGTGTGTGCGTGTGTGCGAGAGAGAGAAAGGGATTTTGTTGTTGTTGTTGATGTTGTTCTCGGGCTGGAGTTCAAGTCAGATGCTCTTAGCAATTTTGCACTTTGTTCTGAATCCAACCGCAGCTCTGCTCTCCGTGGGGAAGAGCTGTCCGTTGCATCGTTCGGCAGTCTATTTTGTTTTCGTTTTGTGCAAGTTTGGCTGGTTTGTACCGATACGCTAGGGCAAGAGGCAGGGGCATTTCCACGCTGTCCGCAAACTGTTTGCAAGATGCTGGGAGGCAACGTGGAAAGTGGCAACTTAGCTGGAGGCGTGAGAGTAGCCAAAGATCCCAGGTATGAGCGGGGCTGCAGCACGCCGTTGGACATCACCTGGCTTGACGGGATGCTCATGGGCTCATTGTCCCACGTGGACCCGCAGGTGGACAGACGCAGCTGTTGTCGACGAGTCTCGAGGTGGAGCTGGTTTTAGCAGGACGCTTATTCCACCGGACATAGCTGCAAGGGTGGTGGGTTTGCTGTAGGTGTTAAGTTCAAGCCCTGGAGGGGCTCACCTGGGCTCCTCGAGGGGTGACAGCATCTGCTATTTGCATCCTTGCGCCTTTCGTGCTCTCCAGCTCACCTCAATGGGGCCTTTCCCTTTCATTCATTGCCTAGTTTGGAGCTTTTTCACCCCGAAAGTACCTTCAGTCTTAGAAGTTTTGGAGGAAGTGTCCCTCTCCCTTATCCCTCCTGGCCAGTGCGGTTGGATGCACATCCAGGCTGCTGGGGTTTTCTGCACCCAACCTCCTACGTCTCTACGGTGCCTAGATATGGCCTTGGCCCTGGAGACGCGTGCTGCTGCCGCTGGTTTTTTTAAGCCCCTCTGCCCCAAAAGCCTGCGCCGCGGTGCAGTGGAGAGCCAAAACGTGGTAGCAAAAAAATGCCAATAATTCAAGGTCGCTCATTGGGAGTCCTGTCCACCTGCTCACCTTGCTCACCCTGCTCGCATCTTTCTCAAGCCGAACACACACACACACACACACACACACACACACACTCCCATCCCTCGGTGCCCGTTGGCTGCTTGTGTTGCCTTTTTCTTTTTTGCGTAGGGGGAGGGTGTGATTTTGTATACTAATGTGGTGAAAAACAGCTTTTTTTGCACAAGTCGTTGCACAATAAGGGGAAAATTTAGTATATTAGGTTTAACTTTAAAGGGAACTTTTTTTTCGTTCTTTCCTTAAAACTCACTAGCAGAGCTACTGATTAAAAAAAAATGGACTGCATGGTTTACAGGTTAAATTGCATTAGAAATTAGCATGTTGATTGCAACTGTACATTTATCCTATTGTAACTTCTATTAAACAATACAGCATATAACTGTTTAAATAAGCGCCTGTGCTGCGTGTAGCTCTGTGCACTGGGGCTGGGGGGACACCGAGGGGCACGGGGATGTCACTGGAGCGGATCTAGGACTCCAAAATGTCCTGGTTTGGAGCTCCAGCCCCAGGAACTGTTGGCTCCGTTGCAACGCTGCTGGAGAAAATCCCTAAATCCCTAAAAGACAAGTCAAAACTCCTGTGCTTGTGGGGTAAGGGAGGATTGAGGAGACCATGGTCCAGGGTCTGTTTTATTGCCTGCCCTACAAGCTCATCCCAGATGCAAATGACCCTTTAATGAGACCAGGCTCCCTTTCCCCTTCTATCTTCTGGGCTAAAGCCAAATTTTGTCTAATTCGGTGGCTATTTTAATTGCTTTCTACCATAAGCGAGCATGTTTAAACCCAAACCTTCAGCTGAGTAAGTAGCCACCTTCAAGGAAAGTGCGTTTGCTCTCATTGATTGCATCTATGTTTGCAGATGGGGAAAATAATACTGAACAGGAATTACGATTTGGAGGCCAGAGCAAAGATCATGGGAGGCAGTTCATGGAGGCAGAGGGGGGATTGCTTTAGCCTTGTATGGGAAATCTTTGTGCCCTCTCACACTGCATATTTTCTTTCGTGGTCTTTATCATCCTTTGCAATTTGATGATTATATTAGTGTCTTTTTTTGGCCTTAACTGTATTAGGATATTAGATTCCACGAATATCTTCCAGCCCTGGCACTGAATGCATAATAGACGTGGGTTTCTGCAAGACCTTTGACTTGATACCATTTTGATTAGGAAATTAGAGTGATACAAAATCAATGTGGCACACGCTAATTAAGAACTGACTAACTGGGAAATCTCAGAACGTAATTATAACCAGAGACTCCGGCTCACATGGGGGTATTGCCATGAGGCCGGGGCTGAGCCGGGGGCTCCTCACCGGCACGGTCTGCGCCGGCTGAGCTCACAAGGTGGGACGAAGGGGACGTTTGACGTGTCCTGCCCTGCGGTAGAGGCAGTTGGGACAGTCTGGTCGCCGGGCTCAGGGGACTGGCGTATTTTGGGATGGCCTGCAGGAATGGAGGATTTGGGGCATGTTTGTGGCCTGGGGCATTTTCTTCCCTCAAAGCAGTAGTTGTGTGAAAAGGCACGGGGGTTTGGCAAGTGGTGGGCTGACCGTAAAGTTCCAGCTCACGTCTTCGGAGAAGTGAGAACCTGGAGTTTGAGCAAGGCAATTGCCACTGCTGCGTTTGGTGCTGCTAAAGGTGGCCACTCCAGGCGTAATGTCCCTGATTTGGGTGTCTCTGTATCAGCAAGGATGCTAAAAGTCAAAAGAGGCTTTCAAGGAAGGTATTTTTCTTTCTGTTGGCCTGCTCCTCCATCATCCCACACCATGTCTTTCACCCCAGCTCTTTGCTGCACCCCGTCAGGCTGGCACTGGGCTAGCCCAAGCACCTGCTCAGCCTTGAGTCCCTTGGCACCTGCCCTTTCTGCACTAGAGCAGGACACTGGCCCATGCTCACATCAAATGTGCGCTTGCTCTCACGCGATAGCTTTTCTGGTGCTCCTCAGGACTGGCCTGGGTCCCTCTATGCTCTTGGGACCAGCAGGAACGGTGGCCGGCAGCAAGTGCTTTGGCATTTCTAGCCCTTCCTGAGCATCATCATTTTGGCCTTTCTGAGCCAGGCTGCATGGAGGCTTCTGTGTGTATAGTCCCTGAATACATCTAACACTGCTAAACCGATTTATCCCTTCAGCTTTCATCCCGCCCTGTGGCAAGGAGTTCCATGGGTTAATTCTGTGCAGCAGGGAGGGAAAAAGTCCTTCTTTGTGCTTGTTTTCACCTAAATGTTTGGAAGGGGTGGTTGCACGTGAACAAGGGGCAAAGGGGATCAAGGAAAGGATGGGAATGTTCTGAAGTGACCCAATCAACCTCATCCTGGTTCTTGGGTGCCATCCCACAATGGCAAAGGTGTTAGCAAAAGGCGTTTTTACTCAGATGAATGAAGGGTGTTGAAGGAAGGTGCAGGGGCCTGCTATTGACTGGAAGAAAAGCAGGGGTTGGTGTGAGCACGCTGCCCACTCGGGAGGTGCGGTGGCACTGCCTGTACCCCGAAAACCAGCCAGTTCACGTGGCTTGTATCTGGAAAACGCAAGCGGCCACCAAACCCCCAGCCAGCCCACCTGGCAGGCCCACCATGGGTTTTATCAGTGTGTAAAGTTCCCTGCACGCCAGCAGCACTGAACGCTAAAGCCATTGCAACCTTATCTCCGAGGATAATGAAATGCCCGCCAACTGCATGAACCTTCCCTAACAAGGCTGTCCATAATCCCTGAGGGAAGACCAGCTGAGCTGCAGAGCTGGAGATGCTCTACAGCAGCAGCAGAGAGGGGCCAAGACGTATCTCCAACGCCATGAAGCTCCAGGTGGGAGATGATGGACTACGATCTCGCTGGACAACCTTGACATGCAAGTCTTGGTGGCACCATGTCCTGCTCCCTGCATGAAGGGACTTGCCAGCAGCTGGGTGGCCATGCCATCACGCACCAACCCACCTGTCCACAGCACAGAGGAGAGGTCTGGATGCTGCCTTGCAGGATTGCCTGTTACCCCAGCTCTGCCCTGGCCCTATGCCGTACCAAGGTGGAGTTGCGGCAGCACCTACTTTGCTCATGGGTGCTCCTGGATCAGCTGCAGTTATGCTGCAGCCACAGGTATGTTTCAGGGCACCAGCAAGCCTCATGGGAGGATTTCAGTCCAAGGTGCCCCAGGGCTGGGAGGATCTGGGTTCAGTTGCCAG